AGCATATAACAACTCACCTGATAAACATCTCGGTATCAGATGACCTTCGTAACAGGTCCTTAAGGAAGTGACCAAGAAAAAGGGAGAACACGCCGCCAGAAGCCCTTAAATGAGATAATATATAACAAAGTAAACAGACCTTAAATAATTATCCATTGAATACTTCCCTGAAACTATTGCCCGGCTGATCTCAGGGTGTGGGAGTTCCCCACGTCGGGCTAATACAGTAAAATCTCCTTAGAAGGACCACCGCACACCATCATTTTCTGCATGCTTTGACAATGATGGAGTTTTGTTGCGGGGCCTGACAAACATAGACAACCAACTTTCAGCCGACGTTGCGGTGTCCAAAAACCAAGTTTCTAGTAGCTTTTGAAGGTGTGGAAACTGGGGAGGGCGAATGGGTTACCGGGCACGCTTTATGGGTAACTACAAGTTAGCCATACCCAGGTTAATGCCTGTTAATTGATTCTGAAATCTGTTAGCGGGTACTGTTTGTGGGTAACCATATGTTAGCCATACCCCGGTTAGTATCATTTTTATGGGATATATATCCTTAATAATAATGTTGGGGTGCCTCTTAAAAGAGGAAACACCCAGATGTTGGCATGCATACAATGGCACATGTGAAGGACGACATGAACCTACAATATATGGAAAATATCGTTCACGCCGGATATTTCCCTCCACATAGCATCGGTGATTCATGTCATCGATCACACTTGGGATGAGCCGCCTGAAATAAAATAAAGAAACAATTAAAATATCAGATTAACAATTTTCATAAAAGAACTCTACTTACCTTTTCCAAAACATTACATTTTTATCGTCTTTGTTTACATACTGTCATTCGTAGTTGGGACAGCCAGTTCTGACAACCAGTATAATATTGAATTGCCAACACCATTTAATATTCACAATTCAACACCGTACTACCGACACAGTGGGCCGATTCTCTTAGGAACGATACCTGAAAGATTCGGTTCTCTTAAGGAGGAGAATTCTCAGGTTTGTCTATCGCGTTATTAGAATGGGACAAATATGTATGTAAAAAAATAAGATAGGTCTACCTAATATATAAAATGTCCGTTGATGGAAAGCTGCCATTGTTAACTAGCGAGCTTATAAATGAGAGTACTTTCAGAAAAATACTTTAGTTGGTTAATTGGTGCTGAGCTAAAACCTAAGTAGACGATAGCAGGAGCCGAATTGTGCGGAAAGTGATTTTTTTTTGTGAAATAATATATCATTGATTAATTCTGCTAAAGGTAATAATTTGCGAATATAAAAAAAAGGAAAATGTGAGTTCTGATATTGTCTTTAAATAAATAATAGGTTTCATGGTGGTGTCCAGTGGTTTTAATTGTCCATAAGGAATTTCGGATTGATGTATGTGCCGAATATTGAAACACGACCGAAACCAAGTATTTGGACATAAAAAAACGGGTGGATGATAACAACACCATCTATCCGAGGCATGATCCTACAAAAAAAAAGGTAGGAAACGCCATTACCACCTCCAGTACGCCACTTACCCTCCAATATAATACGAGGAGTATAACACCATTGACCGTAAGCTCAGCACCTCAAGGTATGCCCTAATTATTAAAAGTTTATGAACAACCAAAGTCTCCAAATAAAAGCCACAGTGCTTGGAAACTGCTATATTGCCAAAAAAGGCCACACAAGAAAAAAAATTAATGTGTGTTAAGAAAAAGGATTTTGAACATCCAGGAGTGACAATCACCCAATTTTTTTTGCTGACATAATTTTTTTTGTTATATTATATAAAGATAAGCTTGTATTTAGCATAATTATATTCCCCTTATAAAGTGTTAGTGCTTAATTTATTATATCAATTCGTCCACGTAAATTTATAATTGTGGATTACTTCAACGTAATGTTTTTTTTTTTATGTCCTGTAAAATATTGTTCCTCAACATTCTCAAAGATAAACAGGCTGTTGTTAAAAAAGATTATTACCCCTTAATTCGACATCGAAAAAGAGCTCTTTTTGTTTGAAGACGTTAGGGTGGTTAGTGATAAAACGACAGGTCGGAAAGTCGTACTTTGAGAGCGCTGAAGTCGCAATTGATTGTTTTTTTTTTGAGAAAACAGAGGCGAATAAAGAAAAACGTTAAGTTGACTAGTTTTTTGTGGTCCAAAGACCGTTCGATGTTAAGATCGACTATCAGTCGTGATTTTTTTTGTTGTCTAACTTTTTAAAGTCACTTATAATAATTTTTAAATACATATAAGTTTTGTTTATCTTTAATTTTTTTTTTATTATAGAAATTATTGTGACCTTAGAATTTTTTTTAGATTAGTTTAGATTATTAAATTCACAAAATAAAAAGAAAGCAAATATAAATTGTATTAGAATTAGGATAATTTATAATAAACATGACATGAAGTGATATTAAATATGTTGTGTTAGCTCATTTGATGGAGGAACATGAGGTGAGGTAAGTTATGTGATCGGAGCGGTTTTTGGGGTCACTAAATAGGTTGTGGAAGACACGGTGATCATAGGTTGGGTGGGCATCACATCGGCTATCCGGTGGTAGGGTTTTAAAGGATGATGGTGTGTTTAGGAATTATTAGACTTTTGTTGTCCCATGAAAAAATTTTGTTGCGTGCCTAAGGGATATGGGTTGAGAACACACCCCTGAAAATACGATTGAGCAGCTGAAGTCCAGATAAGACCAGGAACCTTTTATTTTACGAGAGCACGTAACAAAACCTACCTGTTTCTAATTGAATATTTATTTTTCTACCAAGCCTTCTTATACAACGAACTAATTTGCTTGGTGCCTACTAGTTCGCTATAACTATATATACAGTGGTAGTCATATCATATGCAACTAAAATGTACTACATGGAAATATATTGTAATCTTTTTATTTCAATTTAAAGAGTCTGTCAACGTTTTTATTTTTTCATGGGTTAGGGTCTATTGAAACTGCAATTGTATTTTTTTTTTTGTTTTTTGTTATTTTGTTGTGAACATTATTGATAAGATCAATACCCCGATATTCGCTTGGCTATAGCAAATGCAATCCATATTTTATATTAAAATAACAGCTTTTTATGTTCATATATTGCTGCTAATCCTTGGATTTTTTGTATATGCGTTATCCCCCAATACTCGGAATTCTTCACTCGGTTTTCAGCAATTCTTCCTACCTAAAATTATCAATATTGGTACACCTTTTTGGGTAGAGCCATTCAACGGTAGCTGAACTTTAAAACCTTGGTTAGCAAACCGTTTATACGTTTTTTAATCAAGTTTTTGTGTACCAGCGGGATTTGTTGATCAGATCAATACCTCGATATTCGCTTGGCCAAAGCAAATTCAACTTTAACGAATTTAAAAAATACCGTTATTATAGGTAGCATGTCCTATATTTGATATTTCGTATCAAAAGGAGTGGATCGATTTTCCCCACCTTCGAACTTTATTTGAATGTGAAACAAATATTACAATGTGTCAAGTATGGACCAAATCGGACATACCATTCGCCTAATATTAGATTTATAAATATTGAAAATATCACCCTTTGTTGGGGAGGTGCCAGAAGTAGTGGTCCAATGGGTCCCATCTTCGGACTTGATCTAGAATTGGTATAGATAATATATTTTGCACAGGATATTATAAAATTGATTTTCTGCAAAATTTTGACCTTTTTTGCTAAGTTTGAAAAAATGATTACGATGTACATAGTTTGCATGAAATCGCTTACTCCATTCGAGAGTTATCATGCGCAGACGGATGGACGGACATTTCTAAATTGACTCCAAATTGTTTGGAACGGATTAGGTCCAAAGAAACATGGGATGTAAAACAAAAATTTCGATGAGACACACTTTTGACGTATCAAAGTGCATATACCCTCATTAGACATAAGGCTGAGTGTATAAAAATACCAACTACTAGTATATGCCGAACTAGAAACACATACCTATTCATTAAGTAAAATTCCCACTAAGTTGTGGCAATTTTAAGGCAAAAAGTAGATTACGTTTATCGAAATACAAAATATCAATGCAGAAGAAATTTTTCATTTAATAAATACAAATAATCGTAAACGATCTTTGCAAGTCGCTGCCCAATATGCCTGATGAGCAACTTTACCAACTGTCTTTCATTGTAATTTGGATCATTAAGTTCACCCGAAACAGAAATTATTTCACATTTCCATCTATGAATTAAAAACATTTTTAAATTTTATATATGTTTATAGAGATATATGGGTTTATTTTTAAATTTTTAATATATGTACATGCATTCTTATCTATTTGTGTGATATAAGAATGTAACGTTGTAACGTTCTCAACTGCTTTCAAATGCGATCGATCGCCTAATGGATCATTGTTACAATGTACATACGCATGTTAATTAATTCTGTACGCGCATATTATAATAATTTTTACTTTAGTTCTTAATTAAAGTTTGAATTAAGATTCCCCTAGTCCATAGGAGACACCGAAGGGTAGATTAGGAAAAAAATCTGAACTTAATTGGCGACAGCCAAGAGAGGTGCCGCCTTCCCTTCTATAATTCGCTTTATACATAGACACACACACGTATTAGTACATACTCTGTCAATATCAATGTTGGTTGCGGGTTGGTTTCTTGATTAAATTAAATAAGTGAATAAATGTGTATTAGTTATATATGGTGACGACGATGAGAGACGGAATATGTTAATGTGGTGAGAGGAGTGTACAAAATGGAAAGTGGCTTAGGTTAGTTGTAGGGGAGAGTGTCGGATGACTCTTTGTTTAAAAAACAACTAGTTTAAGTATAAAAGATTATGTTTAAACATGACTGTTATGTTTTCCTTGAATTTACAAGAAAATAGAAAGGGCCGAGCATTCGGATGTTCATAATATAGAAACATAAATATATATTATAACAATTCATTTCATTGTATTAAAGAGTGTTGATTAATCAAAGTTCTATCCGAGAAAAATTATTAATTACTGGACACACAACATCATGTTGCACTGGCAGTGGTCAAGCTATTGGAATTTGAGGGATGAGTTTTTGCAATGGTGTTGGTTGTATTGATTGTTGTGGCTTCTATACCAGCAGAAGCGCTTGGATTGTTATGGTCTATGGTAGTAGTCGTTGCTGACATTTTGTTCTCCTCAGAATTGGAAGCAGTTGCTGGCACTCCAGCAACAGCGGCTGACGCATTTGAGGTCGCATTTACCGAGTCGGTGGCAGGTGTTAAATTATTATTATCGCCCACATCGCCAATTTCGTGAGAATTGAGCAGTGTCGCATTGTCTGTTGGCAGATTTTCTGTATTTGAGCAGTTCATGGCCACATTCGGCGAAGTTGATCTCGTATCCAGTTGGATGACTGAATTGTTATTTGCATTTTCGATTGAAGCGCCGGACAGGGAGAGCTCGTCGGCTGAATCATCACCACTATAATCTGTTTGCACGCCCTTTTCTTCCAACAAGTGTTCGTTGAAGCGTATAGGTCGACTGAATGTGCCAAATTGTTTGGAGATTTGTAGCAATTCTCGCAGAGCCTTGTTCTCCAAACGCAGCCGTGTTATCAATTCCAAATCACAATCGTCATCTATCGAGGCAGCTCTCTGCATGACCGCAGCCATTTCATTGATTTTTTCCCTCTGCTCGCGTATAATTTTCCAAAGTTTTTCGTTGTAGACCTCCTTGAAATTCAGCTTGCTCTCCAGTACCTTGCTGCTTGTGTGTTCCCGGTACTTCTGCATTATCAAGTCCATTGCTCTTTCATAATCCTCGATACACACCTTCAGTTCACGATTTTCCTTTAGTATTTCAGAACTGTTTGCATTTTGCTGTTGAATGCGATTGACCATTTCCACATTGGTCTTATTGTTGGCAATGCGATTTAGGGAGTCCACCTCGTCTTGGTACTGACGTAAACTTTCCACATAACGGTTGTTACCTTCGGCCTCCACAAGTAAGGCGCTGCTTAGGGCGTCCAATTCTTTTACACGACTCGCCATTCTCTGGGCATCCATAATTAGTTGTCCAACGGTTAAGGCCATATTCTATGTTGTTTATATGCCTCTGTCTTAGTACAAAATCGATATCTCTTTTGGCTAAATATGGTATTGTTATTTTCTTTTCTCTTGTGTTTATGTATTTGATAATTGTACTTTTTCCACAGCGTTATAAATGAAATTTCATCAACGGATTAATAATTCTAGAGTTGTGTCCAAGGCAGATTTAATAAGGTAGGCGCATCAGCAACCGATTACAACAAACAACTGCTGTAGAACAATGATATGTCAAAAATATTTTGAAAATAAAAAACCGATTCATGCGATTTGTTTACACAAATTCATTTAGAAAATGTTTTTAAGTGTTTTGTCGAACTAGCTCTTTAAAATTCAGATTTTTTCGTTTATATTTCTTTTTTTGTTTAAAATTACAAGAACATTTTTGACATCAAATCGTATCAACAGCTGGGTTGATGTAGTCACCTTATTAAATCTGCCTTTGTTTTGTCGTTCTGAATAGGGATACGTAAGTCGACTTACGACCAATCGATTAATTGACTAATGGCATGGTACAATTATCAAAGGTAACAGCAAATCCCAGCTGATTTGATTCCAACGTAATACTAGTGTCAATATGAATTTGACAAATTATGTTTTTAAAAATCACCCAACAGGAAAATTGGGAACGCATACAATTTGAAATTGTTCTTTATTAAATGTGCTCCCATATTCAATTTACTCAATCTGCCTGCTGGGAATGTTTCAGGAAGCAAATCTTTCTTCAAGGAATAACTCGCTATTCCCAGCATTTTCATATGTGTTATACATATATGTGGCAATGACACATTTAAAGGAAAGATGTGGACGCGATAGAAATAAATAATTTTTATTTTGAGGATTCGAAAATATTTCATTTTCAAAATAAAAATAATTTGATGATAATTTGTTTGTTTGTTTACATTTTTCTGTGAAATGAGTTGACACTAGTAGAACCAAGATCTATTAATAAGGTCACCAAGATAGCAATCGAAATCGGAAAACAGCTGTTTTTTCTCAAGTCTAATGTCAAAAATTTCGACTTTGTTTACGTTTTCATAATGGAAGTCAATTCACAATAATGCATTTTGACAGCAAACTTGAGAGGTATCGATAATCAGCTGGTCTCCCTTGGTGACCTTATTTATAGGCCATGAGTAGAACTTACAACAACAAATTTCCATGTGGTTGTTGTATCGTTTTTTGTACAACAACACTTGCTGTTACCTTCTATTATTATACCATGGACTAATGGCATATTCAGACGGACATTTGAACAATGTTGGTCGCTCTCATGGGCACCGCACAATGATCGCGATACGCTTTTTGGCATATTGCGGTTTGGCACCCTAAAGGGCTAAGCAGAATGCTCGCGTTGAGCCATCCGTTGCGTTATGTGTTATCGAAAATACAACAACCACAAGGAAACGATAACACAAACGCTCGAAGTTGATGTGCGCTGCGCTTCGGAGTTAAATATATTTTAACTTTTTGCGTGCGTTAACGCGATAACAAAAAACGCCCAACGCGAACATTCTGTTTAGCCCTTAAGAGATACAATTTATTTAACTACGAAGTCGTCTACGAATTGTCTCCTTGTGGTTGTTGTATTATCAATAAAAAATAACACAACGGATTCATTATGCTTATCCCTTCAAAATTACGTACAATAATTAGCCCATTCACAGAATACTATTGATAGTTCATGTCATTAACATTTAACTTTTTGTTTCTTGTTTCTCTCAGTATTTAGGGATGGGTCGCTTTTCTGGTTTGTTCAGACAGTGATTCGATTTGACAATGTACAGAAGTCGTTGTTCGCTCAGAAAATTTGTAATGTCGAACTATGTAATTATTTTATATTTCAGGGTCGAACAACGTATGAGAGAGCGAACAACGTATAATGACCTGTTGTAAATGGCATTTAAACAACGTAGTTCGCTCTCAAGGTGAATACACTTTATCATTTTGGACTATATATTTTTATCGAATACTGGCTGTTCCACAACCATCAATATTTCCATTGTTGGCCACACTATCAAACAAACAAAATATATGCAAAAGTCTCAATTAATAGTGATATTGTGTAGTAAACCGTGCAAAGTAAAAAAATTAAAAATGTTGCTATGTGCCAGAAACTTTTACTGACCATCATAGTTATTCTCTTCAATAAAGGCTTTCGAAATCGAATCGTTCCTTAATTCCTTCTTGGTTAATTCCAATTTTTTGAGTTTTTATTTCAAACATTTATTTATTTTAAGAATTATTTATTGTTTTTCCGAATGTTAGGTGCACTGTACAAATTGTTGTCAATTTTGATAGATTTTACAGATTTTTTACAAATTTTTACTGTAAATGATTTTATCGGTGCATAGTTTACCTAATTTGACAAATTTTAAGGATGTTTTTTTAATATTTAAAAAAATGCAATAAAGTAAAAAATCACACAATGTTTTAATCAAGGCCTATAGATAAGGTCACCCAGGGAGACCAGCTGGATATCAGCAGTCACTCAAGTTTGCTCTCAAAATTCATTATTGTGAATTGACTTCTATTATGAAAACGTAAAATTTTCGACATCAGAATTGAGAAAAACAGCTGTTTTCCGATTTCGATTGCTACTTGGGTGACCTTATTAATAGATCTTGGTTTTAATTTGTGGCCAGCTCAAAGTCGACGTTTCTCACGAAAACCGTTATTTATTGAAAAATTGCTTGCAATAATTTTCTATTATCACATTTAAGTGCAGTATATCGAAGTGTTCAGAATAAAAATACTTCCAATGAATCGAGGCTGATCAAAAAAAGTTTACCACAGTAATTGTTTCCTTTTCTTTGACTTGCAATTGAAATATTTTCTTCCAACAATGTGTTTCATTCAAACAGCTGATTTCCTTATGTTTCACATACGAAAATAGAGCGCGTCCTATTCGGAAAAAATACATATGTAATTGCATGACTAATTTTTTCATTTTAACTACCAATAATTTAAACTACCAAAAATCGTTGGGCGAAGCTAAGAGCGGGTATAGGAGTGGGTGATCGGATGCCTCTCCAAGATGTTTGTAATCTGTACGATCGGTACATTTGTGTTTCAACAACAAGCAGTTCACGTCAGTGAGATATAGATACGTTTGCGATCATTTGGGTCACATGCAGATAACAAACTGTAATTTTTGGGCACGTACAATATTCGATTCTGGCTGCCTTGAAGAAGCAAGCAAGGACTTCAACAACATTTTGTCTCATTTTTGTGAGTACAACGAAGGAGGAAGCGATACAACTTGAGCAACTGCTGTTGGTAAACTTTCTATGATAGGTAAACATTCTGAATATATATATATATACATATATATAAAAGAACTAAATCTTCCCATAAAAAAGCTAAAGGCCTTCCCAATGTATAATGTCCATTATCCTCTCTGCTTTCATTATTCCCATTTTAATGTAAGCTGTGTTTACAAGCTGTCCTGTCGCTTATAAACACAGGGTAATTTTTGTTGTAGACTGCGATTTCGACACTTCAAATTAAATTCAATTAAATCTGGCAACGCTATTGTAGATGAGTGTATTTGTTGTAAAAGAAAATCGTAAACAACAGGAAAAATTTTCGCACTGCATAATTATTGAATTATTATAATATAATACTTCGAAATATTATCTTATATTCATTGCAGAATGAAATGAAATACTAAATACGTCGTAGTTCGGGATATATTGAATTTCATGATATGTTGCCTTATATTTCCCTGCATAGAAAAAGGATTTGAATTTTGTGAAAAAAAACAATAAGGTCGGGTTATTCTTGTGTTTTCAATAAGAAGGGCGAGTTCAATGGTGTTTCCCTGGCAATCACAGAATAATGTCATTCATCCCGGAACATCGAGCCGATTACTTGTGGCTTCTACATTTCTTCTTTGGACATTCGCCTTTGGAACCAGATGCTGTGATGCAACCGCTACCGATATTGCTCTCGATGCCAAGGCAACATTGACTCACAGAATTGACAGTCTAAATCTTTTGGTTTACACCTTCCTGCTTACCTTGACTGTTCTAACGATATGGCTCTTCAAACACCATCGAGTTTCCTGGCTCCACGAGACAGGCCTTGCTGTGATATATGGTATGTATTGCTAGCAATAGAATGTGGTGACAATGACATAGAATGACGAAATTACATGCCATGTGATGCGTTCAATATGCAATGTCAGCATTTTATATTTAAAGTAATTAGCGGCTGTAGTTTTATAGGCGATTTTATTTCACAACAAAAACACACATAATTACGTCGTTGTATATACCTCCTAGTAATTTGATTATTTTGACCACATATATATTTATCATATGTTTATATTAAATACCGTCCATACTGTTGTATTTTACTTGTAATTAAAATGTATATTAGATTTGCGCAATAAAACTGATTCATAATTATATATTGTATAGTCTATGTGCTGCAATTTTTTGGCCAAATTCTAGTTAATAATGGACGACGATAATGTTTTTGATTGATTACGCACACATATATATATATATATATATATATATAGGTGACGACGATAATGTTTTTGATTGATTACGCACACATATATAGCGAAAGCGAAAATTTTCGTGGTAATGTATTAGAAGCGGAAAAAATATTAATGCACCACGTCCATGTAATTTTAAGAAAGAAAATACTCTTTATACCTGAAATGGAATCTAATTTCTAAACATATACATGTATTTTAATGCAGGACTTATTGTTGGAGCCGCTATACGATATTCGGGTTCATCAACGCCATTAGTACACTTGGAAGTTGAGCCGGAACGAAATACAACTTTCAATCAAACATTGCCGCCGGATACCCTGTGGTTAAAAGTAATTGATTATTTACTTGGGAATACGTTATGTGTTAATATATTTGTTGTATTAGTTTCCAGGAAAGTTAACTCCAAATGGCAGTGATCCCATTGAAAATAAAACCTATGCCTACACTTTCCGAAGCCAAGTTTACGATGTAGTTGAAAATGAAATAGATTTAAAAGCTACATTTGATCCTGAAATATTTTTCAATATCATTTTACCACCAATAATATTTCATGCTGGCTACAGTTTAAAAAAGGTTAGTAGGTTTTTTTTGAAATGAGGACATTGACATCACGATAATTTATTCTTTACAGAAATATTTTTTCCGCAATTTGGGTGCAATTCTAACATTTGCTATACTCGGTACAACATTATCGGCCTTCCTAATCGGTGCCCTTATGTACGGTTTTGTGAAACTGATGCCAACATACTTGAGTAGCAGTTTCACATTTCTGGACACGCTGTATTTCGGAGCGCTGATATCACCAACAGATCCACTAACAATTCTGGCGATTTTTCACGACTTGAACGTTGATGTGAACTTGTATGCATTGGTGTTTGGTGAATCTGTTTTAAATGATGCGGTTGCCATTGTGTTGAGTGGGTGAGTAGCCAGGAAACAAATTACCCTCGTTTATGTTTTAATTGTAATATTGTTTCAGAGCCATTCAAAATTATGGAGAGCATTACTCCAGTACTGGAGAATTTGAAACGTATGCCTTCTTTAGGGCTTTAAGCGACTTTTTTGGTATATTCATGCTGTCATTACTTATCGGAGCACTAATGGGCTGTTTTACAGCATTGATATCCTTTTTAAAAATATATTTTTTTATTTGCCATGGTTTATATTTGTTATTGAGAGTAATGAAGGTACATACTGCCGATGTGGAAATGAACATATCTAAAAAGGAGTAGATGGTGTATAAACGATTATATGAGTCGTTTATATTGAAAGTGGTATAAGTCCATTTTAGTTTCTTATACAAATCTTGGTTTTCTAAAAAAGGTTACAAAACATATTACGTTATATATTCTATCATGTTTAAAGGCACAAAACCACAAACAAAATTAATACCACTTAGCAATATTTTTAAAACAAAAGGGTCTAGTGGCGTCCACTATATAAAATAAATTGTCATGGCATATATAGTATTTCTTATTTAATTCTATATCCAGTATTGCATTCCTTAACTCATTTAACACTTGACCAAATTTACTCGGGTTCGAGATTTTCCCCTGCTGGAGTCTGCGCTTTTTGTTCTGATGTCATACAGTACCTTCTTAATAGCAGAGGCATCCGAACTCACTGGTGTTGTTGCTGTCTTGTTCTGTGGGATATGCCAGGCTCATTACACATTCAATAATTTATCTGAAAATTCCCGGACGCGCACTAAGGAAATATTTGAACTTTTAAATTTTCTGGCGGAGAATTTCATATTTTCCTACATTGGAGTGTCCATGTTTACATTTCCTAAACACCATTTCGATGCCGTTTTCATTATAACTGGATTTGTATGCACACCATATATATATATATTTCTTTACATAAAAATTCTAATTTGAATTTACATTAATTATTTTAGATATGTGCGGCCATTGGTAGAGCTGTGAACATTTATCCTTTGTCATGGCTATTAAATTTAAATCGCAAACCAAAAATTTCCACAAATTTCCAGCATATGTTATTTTTTGCCGGTAAGTGAAAAACAATTTTGGAGATATTTAGAGTATTTAATTTTAAATATTCCCATAGGTTTACGAGGTGCTATGTCCTTTGCGCTGGCTATACGCAACACATTATCAGAGGCTAGACAGACGATGTTGACAGCAACATCTCTAATTGTAATTTTCACAGTTGTCATTCAAGGTGGCGCTGCAAACTTTTTCCTCAATTGGCTTCAAATACCGTAAGTGAATACTATCTCATCAATCGATGCAATATGAATTATTCAACGTTTGTTTCTTAATTTTCAGAGTGGGTGTTGATGAAGAAATTGAACAGTTGAATAACTATCATGTGCGCAGTGTGAGTATTTTGTTTTTCACTATGTTGTTTTCTCGTTGTTTAAATTTTACAAAAATATGATTTTATTGTTAATTTACTTAATGCTGAGCATCCGTCAATTATTGCCTTTTTTATGTACCCTTTTATTTGTGTGCTTTCATTTCCTTGTTGTCAATTTTATCACAATTTACATTTTTAAAACAAATTGTCTTGTATTTTTCAATTTTTGTTAAATTCAAATTACTATGAAAGGTCTACAATTCAATGGAAAATACAACAAATGTGGTATGTGTAAATAACTAATAATTTTCTAAAATTAGATTATTGTTTAAAAATAATACAATTCTTAAAAAAACTAATAGTACGAATTCAAGTGAATTAATGTAAACACTCTACAACAAAAATTCCCTTCAAATTGAAAACGATCGATTTATCAAAAGTCTGTTATATAACTTTTTTTTATAATCAATGAAGTTTTCTTTAATAGTGTTAATTTTCGAACACTGCACAAAGCTATATTGAAAATGTTGGCAGAACACTTTTGGGATTTGTATATTGAAAATATATTTTTTATAATATAGGAAATGGATTTCTTTTTCGATAAGCTAAAAACATTTTTCAACTTATATACATTGAGATAATATCCTACCCTAATAATATCCTACCCTAAATAAAAAAGTAAGTGTCCCAAATATATATTTGTCCTGATTTAAATTAGGCGAGTTCACTTGCGGCAATTCTTATCGTTCTCTTTTGAACTTGCTTCATGCGTCTATACAAGGCAATTTGGTTTCAAAAATAAATAAATATAAAATGTCAACAAATACAAAATACACAAAACGAATTGTCAGAAAATTGCCGGTACGATCAATTTGTTTCAATTTCTATTTCCCTTGCCCCTCTCTCTTTACAAACAAAGACTTGCCACAAGTAAACTCGCCTAATCTAAATTGAGACTTTGTAAAAAAATCATGAAAAATTAATGAAAAAGTAATATTTCAAGAAATTATAATCGAGGGAAAGGAACACTTTTTTTATTGAAACAATAGCGAGTAGCATTCTTTTGCATATTTTGCAAATTCTGATTTTGAGGAGAATAAAAAATAGTCTCTTTATTATTTTTTTTTTTAATTTTGTAAGGTTTAATTGCTATAATAAATGATAAAATATTATAAAATATTAACATGTTTATGTACATAATATGTAAATTGCACAGTGGACAAATAAGATCCTATTTCCAAAGCATCAGAAGATAAGTCATTGAATTATTTTATTAATTTTGTCTATTACAAATATATTTCCTCGTTATCTATGCTTACAATGCAATTCTAACTTTGCTACTACTTTATTTATTAATGAATAAATATAATATTAAAAAATAGTCTCAAACTTATTTGCAGGATTGTGGTGACGTCGAAAATAACCCTGGTAGTGCTGGCAACACCAAACGTAATGAAAAAGCCGTTCTTGCCAGATTGTGGGGTAGCTTTGACACTAAGTAAGTAATTCTTCTATTGTGTTTGTTTTAGTTACTAATGGACGCACCTTACATTTTAGGTATATGAAACCACTGTTGACACACTCTAGACCTACATTGTTGGAAACGTTGCCAGTTTGTTGTAATCCTGTAGCTCGTCTATTGACAACGACTGAGCAGCTAACACAGGTAAATATGAGTTTTTATATTTAGTGTTTTTAATGCAGTAAGCCAATATGTTTATGACTAAAACAATACCGAAAATCAATAATAACACTGTGCAACAGTTTGCAGAAATGGTTGAAATCTCATTTAAAACGGAGTTATAGCAGGACAGAATATTCTACAAAAATATTTGCAAAAAAGTCTCAAAATAGACTAAACTCAAAAATCTTCAAAGTATGAAAACTCTTTTTATTTATTTATTTTCAAATTCATGAGGCGGTAAACTACATTAAAATGTTAAGTAACACAGTTTAATATCAATTATAGTAAATTAAGTTTTTAGGGGGGTGGATGACAAACTACTCAAAGTGACAATTACTATGTACAATAAAACAAGTAGAATTATAAATGTAAATTAAGGTAAAAAATATTAAAAATATAAATTTCATTCTGACAAATTGAATTAATATTGCTGAAAAAGGGGTGTAAAACAATAATATAAAATAAATATATAAAATTAAAGAAAATATTATTTAAAAGGGAGGGATTGAAATTACTCAAACTTCTTAAATATTAACATTAATTGGGCAATACAAATTTAATGTGAGGGGTCGGAACTACTTAGCTCTCTTAACATATATATAGCTCGTATACATGTTATTGTTGAATAAAAATTAAATTAATTGGAAATATTAACAATTTAGGGATCGGAACTACTCGAACCCTTTGTGGCCCGAATTTTTTCCGTAATCATAGAACAATTTTGTGTTCACAGATTTAATGCAACTATCCTAGATAGGTTATGGACAAATTTGACATCTCTAAATCTATGCATTCGGGAGATACAGTGCCTTCTCTCAGAAAAATAATAGCCCAATATCAAGAAAACCAAATGCAAAATAAAAAAAAAAAAATATTTTAAATCATTCTCTATATTCTGTTTTACAAGAATCAAATATAATTCTGACGGCAGAATTCGTACATTTCGATTACGAAGCGATTTAAAGGCTTTGTGTACATGTAAGAGTTTTAATAAAATAAATAAATAAATATTAAAAAGCTCATAACTTTACCAAAAATATAATTTTTTTAGATTTTTCTTGTGATATGTGTTGTCCATAATCGGGACTTGACATAGAAAATCGAAAGAATGCAATCCACTAGCTGTATCGTAAATATAAGCTCTCAAATATTTGGTGCCTGTGGGCAACATTGGGCCATAAAGGGTTAAACATGATCTTATTCCGAGTTTGTATCAATATCTAGATGTCGTTTTAGAACGATCGTACCAAAGATAAAAATTTTCTGCATAATTTTTATTTATACACGATAATTTGGAACAAAAAATTTGATTTTTTTTTTAGATTTTTTTTCCATAAAGCGTATGAAGGTAGCATGAAACTTCATTTTTCATATTCTCAAAACTAACCATCAAGGTAGATATATAAGGTAGCCGCATCGGCGAATTGGGAAAATGATATGTCAAAACGGTAATCAAAGCGAATTTAAATTAATTTGTTGACATATCGATTTTGAAGCAAATTGTTTTCTACCAATCAGAACACAGAATTTTGAATTATCAAAATTTATTATTTTACTCAAGGCACATATATTAGGTAGTCGCATCGGTGAATTACTACAACAAAACAATTTTTTGGAAACATTATATGTCAAAATTTGTAAACAAGGCAAACAAAATTCAATTCGTCTTGACATATCAAAATTTAAGCAAATTTGATTCAACCAATCAGCACAAAATGTTTTTATGCCCTATACCTCTATGTGTTGCCTCAAGAGTTTGTAGCTGCACGATATATTGATACAAGATCTTTTTCGTATATCGTTTATCATCTCTCAACTAGCAGAATCGTTCTAGTCATGTGTCGGCATCTTTCAATAATTTCCATTGTTGAATTCTGGAGATTTTGCATGTAGATTCGGTAGTGATTGGTAGTGACCACAATTATGACCCGAAAAACAAGAAATTATACGCAGAAGGGTACAGACAAACGAATGAGAAGGATGTTTTCGTGATGATCGGTCAATACTTATCGGGTCAAGGTGACCAAAATTTTGTTTCAAAAATCTCAAATACATGTCTAATACCGAATTTCAATGGTTCTCTCGAAGTAAAATTGGAAAAAATCACGAAATCAGTTCATTATACTTCTGTCCACAGTTATGAATCAATCGTCCTGATATTTCGCATTTAGGTTCAGTTCTGGTTAAAGCCAGCACCCATAGTTTTTGGTAATGAATGGTTTCGTTACTCTTGGGGCCACAATTATGAGCCGAAATCCACAAAATATTACTTTTGAAGTGGACCTGGTCAACCAATAAGCATGAATGTTTTAATAATGGACAGTACACATGATATGTTAGATTTTGTGTGAATAATAACCAAAACTTAATTTTATGACGTATATTTACTCGGGGAAGACATAGTTCGGATAAATTGGCAACATATGAAATAAGATATTTTTCCTCTAAAATCATATCTATTATGGTTTGGTCCGATATTGGTATATGAATGTAAATATATAAAATGTTCGGATAAATTGGCAACATATGAAAGAAGATATTTTTCCTCTAAAATCATATATATTATGGTTTGGTCCGATATTGGTATATGAATGTACATACAGTGAGTGTAATAAGTATTTTGCCTCAATAAAAATTTGTCAAAATTCAGTACGTTTAATATATTGTCATTTCCTTTTCATATATGTCAAATATATCCTCATAAAGTAGGTTAACCCAGTAAAAAGTTCTAATGTACAAGGAGTTTTAGCCTATGGCCAGTATACTAAAGATGTAAAATGAATTATGTATGACGAAATATGTTTGTGGATATATTTAGATCTTATTTCTGCAAGAATCACTGCGAAAGACCTATTGGTCTAGAAGATATCGGCCAAAATCTATACCAACCCAAAAATGATTATCACAAAAAAGTATTTTGCTTTTTATTATTATTTTTGAAATAAATCGTTATATAACATACGCTTTGTCTTTTTATAGTTACCATTGCGGGTAACCACATACTTAAAGCGATTTGGCGACGATTCCAATAAACCACGGCATTTTTTCGCGAATATTTTCTCACATTTACGTTCAAATATATCCACAAACATATTTCGTCATACATAATTCATTTTACATCTTTAGTATACTGGCCATAGGCTAATATATTGGAATTTTGAAAATTTTTATTGAGGCAAAATACTTATTACACTCACTGTATATAAAATGTTTGATTATTCCAAATACTCGAAACTTGTTGTTGTTGTTAGAGAATCAAATATCATATAATTGTCGCGGGATTTTTGCACAATCAGGGTTAAGCTCCATAGAAAATTTAAGACCAGTGGACCGTCCGAATATACCGCATTGCTCACAAGTTGTTAAATATTTCATAAAATTGATTTAAAAAAAAATATTACATTTTTTTGTTTGAAATTTGAATTTTCCTACGGCGAATCCAAAATTATATTTGACATATAATGTTACCATCAGCTGCCTTGATACCTTGCTACCGTAGACAGACGACAGCCTTAATTTGCATTAAAAAGTTCTTAATTTGAATTAATATTTACCCCTGACAGACGAGAGTTTCTGCATTTATGAAACAATTTTTTGTTTCAAAACTTTTGTTTGTCTGTGTGTAGGAAGAATATATTGGCATTTGTTTTCAATATTTTTTTGGGATTACGTCTTTATGAAATTGATACGTTGCAGAAAGGAAGAAAATCAGCCAAAACGATAGTAAAACAGCTCCCAATTTGAATAATTGTTGAATTTTCCTTTATTTATAAATTTTATTTTCATAAACGTAAACAAATTTGACAACAATCAATTTATTTTCTACAGCATTGCCATATTGAAATTGCTTAATTCAGTATAAATTCAGTTTGATTTTGTGCATTAAAAACACATAAAAATGAGGATAATGTACAAATTAATTTGAATTAAGGCTGTCGTCTGTCTAGGCTATAACCATAATATATTTAAATTCAAAGTATTTTTAAAAATATACTGTATAAAATTAACAATATTGGCAACAAATTCTTTGTTGACTTCAGTAAGTGTTAATTAAACACCTTGCAGATATGTGTCAAAATCTTCAATTAGACTACATCTTAGCAGGATTTCATCAAACAGTGAGGAAAGTAGTAAAGTCGGTCTGGGCCGACTATATCATACCCTTCACCACTTTGGGTACATTCTAAATATGTAATATTTATCAATAAGTAAATCAATTATAGCACACTTGATATGCCGCACTGTTGAAAATTTAATCTCAATCAGACACCTGTTCGAATTATATATATATGGAAGCTATGTCTGTATCTGCACAAAAAAACGCAATAACGCCGTTCTAGTCTCAATTTGATACGATGTGTAAAATTTCGTGTCAATTGGACAATTGGTGTACCATTTACCTAAAATCGGACGAAAATATATAGGTGTATAAAATTGTTTGCCAATCGGACAAACTTTGGGTCTTTAGTACAAATCGAAATATATATAAGGCGTGAGGCGTGGATTTATTAAAGAATATTTTTCAAGGGCCAACTGAGGCGTGGATTTATTAAAGAATATTTTTCAAGGGCCAACTGAGGCGTGGATTTATTAAAGAATATTTTTTCAAGGGCCAACTGAGGCGTGGATTTATTAAAGAATATTTTTCAAGGGCCAACTGAGGCGTGGATTTATTAAAGAATATTTTTCAAGGGCCAACTGAGGCGTGGATTTATTAAAGAATATTTTTCAAGGGCCAACTGAGGCGTGGATTTATTAAAGAATATTTTTCAAGGGCCAACTGAGGCGTGGATTTATTAAAGAATATTTTTCAAGGGCCAACTGAGGCGTGGATTTATTAAAGAATATTTTTCAAGGGCCAACTGAGGCGTGGATTTATTAAAGAATATTTTTCAAGGGCCAACTGAGGCGTGGATTTATTAAAGAATATTTTTCAAGGGCCAACTGAGGCGTGGATTTATTAAAGAATATTTTTCAAGGGC